TTGAACATATATTTAATTTATGCAGTAATGAATATAAGAACCTTAAAAATACAATAGTCAAAACGTAAACAAATAACGACATTGCGTCCGTACGGTGATCCGGATGCGGTTGGGGAGCGGTCCGTGTATATTTAAGACGATCGCAGCGCAGCTTGTCGTCATAATGAGGAAACCTAACGTATTTCAACTGCTGGCTTACTCGTTTACTAGTTGACTAGCTAGCTATTTCTGAATTAAAACTTTGTTTCGAATTTCTGTTTTTATAAAAATGACGAAAGCTACAGATCAACCGATAGAATATACTGAGTATATAACATCACGTAAGTCTGGAATGGATTGAATACTACAAGCTAACACGAAATCGCGATCGGTAAAACTAGCATAGCATGGAATGATCAACACGCAATAGATTTGTAAACGAGTGCAACAACACAAATGTACATAGCATGGAAAAAGACACTTATCAACTAGGGAATTAATACAAATAAACATAGAATTAATACAAATGAACATAGAATTAGATTCAAAACCAGAAGTAACTAATTCTATAACTTATCAACTAGGGAAATAACACAAATGTACATAGAATTAGATTCCAAACCAGAAGTAACTAATTCTTTAAAAAATAATTATGGCGGTGATCTCCTTCCATAGTTTGAAAGCTCTTTGCATGAACGCCGTAATTTTGTAGACACCTAAGCGACATATTTTGTGAATGCGCCATAGTCCGGATAAGACAGTAACACGTGTTACTACAGTACATGTACATGAACAAGCTGTATAGAGGTGAGTATGAGTTTACACATTCACACAATTTGATATAGCAATACTTAAGGCATGTGTAGTAAGCTATTAGTTTGTTTGTTTTAAGAGTAGGTAATCATCAACATTAATTGCACTGGCTTAGCACAAATACATCCACAGTTTTTGCATCAAGATGTTTACGTTTCAGAATAGGCACATGAGTACAAGTATCGGAAGAACTGAGATTTTTATGAGACCAACTTACACAAGTTTGTATTCAGACACTTGTTTAATAGGGCTATTGACAGTACGGATACGCACACTAGTACGATAGGCCAGGTTATAACACACTGACCGAAACCATTGTCGGAGCACAGGCCAAGCCGTGACACACTTACCGTAACCATTATCATAGCGTGTACACACAACTACAAGGATCCGTACTATTACACGGACTGGACACACTTACCGTTACAATTGTCAGAGCGTGTACACACTTGTAATAGGACGTCCGTGGGGAGAGTACGATGGCCGACAACAGCCTGGCAAAAAGATGTGAATTTTTTATATCTTTTTGTACCATGGTACACTTTTATATGGTACACAAAGATATTAAAATTCAAATCTTTGTGTACCATTTAAAAGTGTACCATGGTACACAAAGATATGAAAGCAGAAATAAAATCAACCCGTTGCTTTTGTGTCTTTCTGTACCAAAATAACGTCCGAAAACAGCCATGGTACAGAAACATGTGAAACCATCAGACGAAAAGGTTACAAGTATGACAAATTACACCCCGATAAGGCTGTCATCACATACAATGAAATGTTATCGCACGGAATGTCTGTTATTTTTATTACACCAAATGAGCTACCAAACTATAACTTACTAGTCATTTTAATTGAAATCAACTATTCAATAAATATCCTTTACCGAATTTTATAAATGTTTTATGTTAAAAAGAAAGTCATTATGGATTATTATTCTAATACTTACATTTCTAATGTATTCTATCTGCTTAAACTTCTCAAATGAAAGAAACTCCAAATCAGTTGAAAACGCCGACGGGGTTCGTAGGGGACAAGGGGACAATCAATTTAATTACTTCGAAGGATAGTCTACCTATTTATATTTTTTGGGGGGGAGGGGGGGGGGGGGGGAATACGATGAGCTAGTTGTACGACTCTTTTTTAATCTGGACATCTATCAAAACCAGGGAAATGACAAAAATATTCAGATGTCCTTTATCCCTTTTGGAGTCCCTGCCAAGGCCCCTATACTTACACAATTGCAACTAACTCTGTTTATCATCAGAAGTGATTAATGAACTTTACGACTTGTTTCGACGTTGTAATTAGGGCTTCACTATTCGGGGTCAGTTCTGGTCATAGTGTCCGATAACAACATTCCAATGCTCTGGTGGTACACTTTTTTCATATCTATTTGTACCATAGGTGGTACAAAAAGAAATGAAAAAAGTGTAACGCGGTACTAAAAGGAGAGAAGCTTTCATATCTTTTTGACGGCTGATATCGGCTGTTGGTACATATACATGTGAAAGTAAAGAGTGTTTTTGTAAAGCTGTTTATAATCTTTATGTACCATGGTCCACTTTTACATGGTACACAAAGATTTGAATTTTCATATCTTTGTGTACCATATCAAAGTGTACCGTGGTACAAAAAGATATGAAAGTTCATATCTTTTTGTCAGGGTCTTGTCGGCCATCGTAGGAGAGCCTGTCCAGCGTCGGTAGATGAAAGTGATCGTATAGTAATTTATGTTTCCCCCAAAACTACCGACAAGCTGACCGGCGGCAATCCCTAAGAACGTCCCGCTGCGTCCGTCTGTACAGTCAGACACAGGTCCGTCAGATGTGGAGGAGTATCCGAGTTATAAATCAATCAACACCTTGTTTCAAAGTTAACTAATTACGTAGCCTTTAAAAACACGGCAAACAATACGTACCTTAAAACCAGTAGCATATAATACAAGACAGAACAAAACATACAGTGTGTAGAAAAGAATGTATGTTTAGTAAACCTACATATATCAGCCCCCATGTGGTAAAATAAGGCCTATAAGTAATTATGACGTTGAAAACCAACCCCTCCCAGAACACTGATATACGTTCAACTAACCAGCCCTAACGTTCCCTAACGTGGTAGCACTGTTTTCAGCGCCTGTGATAAATACAGTGTACATTATTGCATACGAGCATTCCGTATTTTTTCCAAATTGTGTAATATTGATCAACAAATTGTACCATATCGCACAGATGTGCGGAGAGAAGCGCACAATGGGGCGAACGATTGTTAAATCGCACAATTGTGCGCACCATGTGTGGACGATGTGCGGACGGTGTGTGAACGATGTATACACGGTGTGTGCACGGTATTTTTGGTGCGTTGTGCGTTCCCACAACTGTAACACTATTTTACCTGTCTAATTTATTAAACATTACTTTCTTTAAACCCATAGTAATTATGATGTGGGTTATCTCCCTTAGACTTACACATAACTGTACTAATAGTCCTTAGAAGATCACTTCCATGATATTGAATTACCATTATAATCTAGTTTCTATGTTTCTGCTGTCTATCTAGCATATGTATATATAGGATGTAGTTAGAATCGACTGGTCACAGTCAACGTTGCTATCTGGGACAATTCAGTCCTGACGACAGGTAACAGTCGTTCTCACTGTTTTCAGTACCCCCACCCATGTCCTGCATTTTATCTAAACTAAAATCTAGACGCTCTACGTTTGTACTTATTTATAGTAAAGTCTCCCACTAGTTAGTTTTTAAAATTTAATTACCTATGTACAACTAATTTTATACTTCATGTAACTTCCCAGTCAACCTGGTACAGGTCATGAGGAGGTCTGCATAGCATACCCGTAACACCTGTATTGTTACGGAGGATACCACACCCTGGGTCTACCTATAGCTACTCTATCTGTCTGACAATGTCCCTTCCTATCTAGTATCAACATCAGTGTCGAACTCAAACATAGCCTTACCCACCTATATAGTTACGGAGGATACCACACCCTGGGTCTACCTATAGCTACTCTATCTGTCTGACAATGTCCCTTCCTATCTAGTACCAACATCAGTGTCGAACACAAGCATTTGCGTTTAGTAACGGTATCTACTAGTATTGTATAGTGTAACGGATCAGACCTAACGGTACCAATTTTAGTCATCGCTATCAGTCCTGTCAAAAGCATGACTATCATTAGTTGGATAAGCGTAGCATGGTGGTGTTTTATCGTAGCTAGGCTAGTATCCTCACGTGAACCCTTTTCCAATAACGAGACATCCTTCAAGTCATTTTCTCCCTCAAAACTTTGACTAGAGTCTATTTGAATTTCGAAGTTGGTTGGGAGTTTATTCTCAGAATGCTAACCTAACTCTGTGTATTTCAAACTCTCAACATTAGTCACCGTATCCACAGTACTAATTACCGCATATGGCTCTGTACAAACACTTACTGATGGTGCTATGTCAATAACAGAGAGTACTACCTTAACACTGTTACATTTTTTTTTGTATGTATCTTTCTGCTTAACTGAACTTTTCCCTGAGAGGTTACTAAGATTTCGTTTTGAAGCTGAATTTAAATATCATATTTCACTAAGAAATCCATCCCTAGTAAACCTGATAGGTTATCTACAGCTGCCACTATAAAGGTTTGTTCAAACTTATATGGTCCCATTTCAAAAACTAAAGGAATACACCCCTTAACATCGAGTTGGTTTCCGTTCGCTGTTGTGAGATTACGTCCAAATCCCTGCAGCGACTGTTTGTCTAACCCCAATTTTACAAACTCCCTATAGAAGAGAACAGAAACAGGAGACCCAGTATCTACCAGCATCCTACAAGTTACATTGTGCACCTGCACATCTGTATACAGACAACCTATGCCTGAAGATACATTATGTGAACTAAGTCGAACCTGGCCCGACACCTTCTCTTTCTTTTCTATTCCCCGTTGAGTTTTCTCCCCTTTGTCCAACTCTGTTTTAGGCCTAGAGATACATATTATATGTATTGTATCCTGATAGACTGGCATCTCGGCCGCAACCCCAGCCTTCTTTAGTTTTCCGACCTACTTAGTTTTTCTTCCAGGTACCTTAAATTAGTAAGTCTGGTACAGTCTCTCATATAATGCCCCTCTTCTTTACAGAACAAACAAGCCCCCTTTTTGTCTGAAGTCCTGTTTTTACTATCTTTCCTTCCTGTTCTTTGTTCCGCTAGCTTCTTGTCCAGTAGCTTACTTATATGCTCTATTGTTAATATCTGAACTATTGTGTTATGGAACAGACTTCTTCAGAGGTTTCCACAGGTTTCTGTGGACTACTTACTCCCTGTTACAGCCTCGTACTCTACAGCGGAAGAAATAGGCTCCTCTTGTGTTGTAGGGTGACTAAATGTGACTTTCTTTTTCATTTCAAAGTTATTTAAACCGTTAATGAACTGATCTATTACTTGACACTCTAGGTAATGATAGGGTAAAACTGGGTAAGCTAGTAATGCTGTTCTACGTAAAGAGTACCCAAAGTCTGAGCTGACTCGCCTTTACTCTGCTTTTGTCCCCTAAATGTTCACCTATGTGTCACACTCATTTCCTTAGGATTGAATCTCTGAGTGAGACATCGTCTAATTGAGTTATAATCTCATGGCGATTCTAAGGTAACTACCTCTCTACTACCCATACCTTTACGCTTAGGAAACGATATGATCTCTTGACTGAGGCCAAATGGCTTTAAATCTTTTTCTGGAGCCCCTATTGGTGTTGATGTAAATCTATCTGAAGGTGTTTGTACAACAGTCTCTACCAACTCTCCCTGCCAATCAGATTAAGTAATCTCTGACTCACTGGAGTATTGATTAGTCGCCATGTACACCAAAAGTGTCTATATATACCTGACTAATTGTAAAACCACAATTGTTAAACTCTTTTTAGTCGTATATCAAACTACACTTTAAAAAAAATCACCAATCAATATAAATTCTCCTTCTTACGTCTATCA